CATGACTTTCTTTGCACCCTGTCCAAGGTGAAGAGAGACACTGAGAATTAAGCATCTTGCTCAAGAACACAACCCCGGTGCACGGTGTTCATTAGGCACCATCTCTCTTGCAATGCAATCCAATGTTTTGCCTTTGAGGTTTGCCCAGTTTCATTCCTCTATTGCATTTATGTCTCTCTCTCATCTCACACTTCATGATTGTGTATTCACTATTGTGCTACATAAAAAGAAACCAGCTCAACTTACACTATCATTTTCCAAGCTGTGTCTTCTCACTATCCCCTTTCCAGCAGACGGTGACCTTTGGTGCTGAACCTTGGTAGTTCTTCCAAATGCCACAGTCACACCTTCACTCTTGTGGACTGGGGATCTGACTGGTGAGCTCTGTGTAGGTTGGCTAGTCTGTGATATGGTTGGTGAGTTTTCAACTGGTTTGAGAGGCTGGGAATCTCTTTCTTGTTGTCTGGCCTTTTCAGCAGCCTGAGCTTGTTTCTGCCTGTGATCTTGAAGAAAAATCTCTCTTCTTTGTCTCCTGATGTTAGTTTTCTTCTGGATGATGCTCTGTAAAAAGTAACACAGACGTTTACATCTACTTGATTCGCTGAGTGACAACTGATTTACATGTTACAATCAGCTCAGATGTCTGATCATTTAAAACCAATCAGACCAGCTTGTGATCTGTCAACTGTAATTTGACAGAGTGTGATTGAACAAGTCCCCATTTTTGAAACTGAATGCAAGATTCTTTGGGGTGCACTTTAATATTTCTTTTTAAACTAATTTTTTGAATAATCCTGATTACATAGCATCATTTTATGATGTCAAATTATGTGCTCAAGCCAAACCATACACAAGCACTAACCTCATAGAGTTTGACACGGTACTCTTCCACACTCAACTGAACATCATCATTTAGAGCAGGAATCACATCATAATCCATAGATGGTTCTTCTTCAGGATTGTGAAATCTTGCCACAAATGGATGCTTCAGAGCTTGCTCTGCTGTCAGTCGTTTGTCAGGATTAAATTGAAGCAATTTCTTTAACAGATCAATGCCATCTGGTGGGGCATTAGGTATAACATCTTCAAGACTTCTCTTGGGTTTACAGGCCATTCTGTCCAATACTGATGAACTGTACTGTGACTTGATGCTATCAATATCTAAAATGCAAACATCATCACATCAGTAATGAACAGCAAATCATTTTTTTAGGACAACTAACTGATCTGTGGTACTTAAGTTCCATAATAACGATGAGGTAGCTCCAAAGGTGAAGTGACACGTTAATGCAAATATTTTGCATCAACATGGCCACTATATAAACTAACTGCATATAAACTTGTTTTTAAAATGTTCACATTCTCTCATAAGGACAGCCATTCAGGATAAACAGTCACCTGGCTCAAGGACTGGAATGGATTATGTTCAAAACTCCCATCACAGGTTGTATAACTCCCACTTGACAAGTAGCTGTTACACTGAGTAAGACTTTATCTTTACCACAACCCCAGACACATTATTTGTGCCAATAGGGTGGCTATACCACCACAAGTACTCTTTGTGCCAGTGAAATAAGAGACCAATGCTTTGTTCTAAACTGTGTCAGTCATCTTAAGTAACCTCGTTGAGCTAAACTTTCAATTTACAGATGCCATAAAGTGATGGAAGCATTTTTTTTTAATCCTAAGTAAAAACTAAAATCCTGCTTGTATTGAGCAGGAAATTGAACTCTGACTTCATACTGTGTATTTTTATGTCCCACAAACTCAGCTAACCAGCCATACATTTTTACTTGCCAGCAACAATGTCAACACACTGATCTCAGAGAAGTTCTCTAACTTTACCTTGTCTAGATGGAGAGGGAATTATTGTCATAATTTTTTCAATCTGATCTAAGGTGGATGTGCCTGGAAATAATGGCTTTCCTGCAATGAATATGAAATGTTGATGAACATTATCATTGACAAATCACGAAACAGGAATAAAAGAAATTATATATGTGTAGGATAATACAGTTTGAAATGATTTAAACTTACCTAATAGCATTTCTCCTAAAATACATCCCAATGACCACATATCAACACCTTTTGTGTATCTGATGAGAAAATAACACCACTTTTACTACTAAAAAAAAGTGCTTCAATTTTTTCAAAATATTTGAACACAGCCTTGGGAGATATTTCATTGACTTGCCTTTTCTAACTCAGTTTGCAATTAGAAGAAACACCAAATTTGACTTCGTATTTCTACTTGCTTGATTATTTTCTCCTGAATTTTAAGACAAACCAAGTTTAAGATACTGTGATCCTAAATCTTTTTTAAGTACCTGGGAGATGCTAACAGGATTTCAGGTGCTCTGTACCACCGTGTTGCCACATAATCTGTTAAACTGGGATCAGCAGCATCTTGTGTCATGCTCGTAACTGATCGGGCAAGGCCAAAGTCACACATCTGCAAGATACGAAATAATTAAGTTTTCAAAATTGTGACCACACTAGAAGGCTTTAGAAGCAGAATCAATCAATCAGTCAATCAATTATTTTGTAAGACTCAAAATATCTTCAGTCTTTGCATCTGCCACTGTTTTAGCGCATGCAATCTTTCTCATGCAATTATTTAAACTGTTATCCTGGAAAATTGTTTGGTGCCAGGTGGTATCTGTAAGGAGAACTTACATGTTTGTCATTAGGTGACCTTCACGGAAAAGTTATTGTGCTACTGACTAGAAATATCACAAATATTTTGACTATCAAATGATGAGACATTGTAAAAAAATTATTTGACATTGAATGACGTTGAAAGTGCACTTACTTTAACGAAACACTCTGAATCCAACAGAACATTACTTGGCTGCAAGAAAACAGAGTAGCCATTTAAACTTAATTAATGACGTCAAGCTTGCCATGGACCAAAACAACATTTGGTTGACTGATTACTAAAACATACAACAAGTCACAAGGAAAATTTTGATTGAGATAGATTTACAAATTAATGGTAATCACTATTGATAATGAAATGTGCATTTCCAGTTCATTCTTCCCTTTCATTTCAGGTACATCCATTGAAACTGACAATATGTCTTAATAAATAATGTTTATCTTCTGACTACATGACCCTATGGAAACATGTAATCTTCAGATCTGATCAGAGAAAAAGATTTCAAAAATCCTCTTGAACACAGGTGTGTGCAGCTAGATACTGGAAATCATAAATACCTTTTGGTCTCTGTGGATAACATTCCCGGAGTGCAGGTACATGGCAGCCTTAAGTATCTGCGGCAGCAGTGATCACAATATTATGATGAGTTTACGATATAGAGTTATTTCAGGGAAGTGCTCTCTTAAGATTGACGTCACACTATGAATGATATTTAGCAGTACAAATATAGCACCAAAATAAAAAAAGTCCCACTTAGTTATTATGATGACAAAACAAAGCTTCCGACATGACAAAATCTTGTGCAGATATTTTAGACAGAAAGCATTTACTTCATTTTCTGCTTGTATAATTAGTTTTTAGTCTCTTTATATACATGATTTTTCTATTCCACCTGTTGTTCAAGCTAAGAATTTAGAAAATATCCTAAACAATCATTAATTTGGGATATTTTTCTTTTCAAGAAGATAATGACTTAACAGTAAAGTTAAAAAGGTCATAATTGTGGGAATTTTTTCTTTTAATGACAGCAGCACAATATAAAGAACACATGAACAATATTGGTCAATCATGACAAGAGCATGTAATTATGTTCATAATTAATGGATAATTAATTAAAAATCATCCAGGAAAAACAATTAATTAAAAAAATGAATTAAGAAATATCTTAAGGGTTTTGACATGTTTCAATGCCAAAAAGACAGATAAAAGGACTTCAGTTTCACAATTTGTGACCTACATGTTTCATTTTTAGGGATGGGGTGTTTGGATTAATCAGTTTCTTCACACATGTTTGTATGACAACTCTAGTATACACAATACAAAGCCTTGTATATATCCAGCAAACAAGTTGTCTTCCTGGCTGTTTTGAGTCGTAGGTTTCCATTAGTGTAAGTCATATTTTAGTTCTTTCAATGAATAATGCATGCTTTGCATTAAGGGAAGATCATTACCTGGTACATAATATATCTTTTGTGTATATCTTTTAGAATGTTGCCTTTCTTTATCACATTGTGAAGATCTGTGTCTGTGAAGAAATAAAGCAATTTGCTAAATAAGAATGGGATCATCAATAATTTATGGTCTAAATCTGTTAAATGGCATAGTTGAATAACCTTGCACACTACAAAAATTTACACAAGATTATGACATGTCAATTAGTGAAGATGTTTCAAAAGAAGTAGCATTTTTTTGTTGGCTACAAAGCTCTTCATACAATGCATCTAACAACTGTGAAGTAAACTTAAGGTTCAACATGTTATACTAGGATTTGAGCATAAAGCTTTTGAACTGGGTAAAATATTGATATTAGATTTTTAACATTTGAAATGGAACCATAAACATAAATAGCAAACTCAATCCATGACATAGACATTTTATAATTCATGGTCAACTGATGGAAAGTTACATTGTTATAATCCAGCTAAATTTTAACTAAATTTGACAACCGCAATCTTTTTGTTTGTGTCATTTATACAAACTTGCCAAAAGGATAAATGACTTCATCCTGTACCCCCAACCCCCACCCCTCTCTGGGAATCAGTGAACCAAGTCCCTGTGAAGAATCTGAACGATTAAGGCTGTTGTTCTGATATTGTACAACAAATCCTTCATTTTAACAATTTAGTCAGTATTGAAATTTGTCATAGTCATTATTCAACATGTGCATATACTTATTATGTAACTTATGTTATGTACGTAATGAGTTTATATTAACCAACTACCAGTGACAGTCATAAGCTTATATCCAAGTTTAAATACCTAGACACAATTGCTATTCCCCAAAGAACATATCATCGAATGCGTAGGTTTTATGTCACAGAGACCACTTGTTCATATATCGGCTTCGAAACTGAAATACTTATAATTTTTAAAATTTAGCAAGAAAAACTTGAAAGAAGCGAAGCTTACTCAATACTCGAACATGCAAATCATTCGTGAAAAAAATGATAAAAATAACAGACGCTATCGCACCTCACCAAACCAAACGAATCCCTGCTGGCCTTGCCAGCGATTTCTGTTTCAAGGCAATACTAAATGAATGTTTCTTAAACTTGTTAATGGATGGTAAGCTTAGCAAGTTGCACTGTGGAATAAGAAACCTGACCGCAAGTGCTTTACGATGGAAATTAGAAATTTGGACATGCTTAATCAACTTACCCATATATTCAAAAACCAAGTAGATGTCTTTATCATTGTCCGCCTTTATCACGTTTAGAAGTTTAATGATATTTTCGTGGTCTCCAAATTCCTGAAATCAAAGACAGGACACAAGAAGCGGAAATCAACGCAAGCTGACTTAATTTTGCGGTGAAATAAGAGAGGCGCTACACAAATATTCCCAGAGAAATTATTCAACATTAACAAACTCACTTGAATTAACATACCTGAAGAAAACAAATCTCGCGAAAGGTTCTCTGAAATGGAAGTTCAAATAAAAATACTCATGAGAGGAGATAATTCATTCACACAAGGAAATCTATCATTGGGAAATCGAAATGACGTCCAAAACCTAAGCAAGCTTTCAACATCCAGTTCATCGCGCGTTTACCAAACATACCTGAGCGTCTGTTTGGTTTCTAAAGGCATCAAAAATCTTTTTCACAGCGACAACTTCCCCTGTTCGTCGATCTATAGCTTTCCAGACGATTCCATAAGCCTATAAACAGCGATAAACTCAATTAAAATCGAAGAAATGCCGGCTAAACGGTGACCACCGAAGAATTATGGCGCGCATCGCGCCAAATGATAACGACGTAAACGACGGACTCACTCCTTTTCCTAAGCGCTTTTTGATTTCATACTTCTTCGTTATGTGAGCATCAATTTCGGCACTCATGATAGAAATCTTTGCCACAGTCCAGCAATTACCTCACCTCACCAAGAATTTTGCTCAACTTATGGACAATACAGCGTTTGCTTTGTGGTTTAAAACAGAACTCGATCGATTCTGTGTTCTGATTGGTCTACGTAAATGGTTTATTGTAAATACAGTTGCTATGGCACCTTCTGGAGGCTATCCGATGATGTCATTGATACCTGTTTGAAAGTGGTAACTTCCTTGTTACACTGTTTATAAGGTTTGTTTTTGTTTCTCTCTGAAGCGCCCGTAAAAAGACCAACCCCCTAATAAAAGGGACTGAGGAATAGGAAAAATGGGCATTTCTTGCGGACTTGCAATGACGCGAGTGATCACTCTTTTACTCATGAATGAAAGCAATATTCAGTGAAGTAGATCTGCAAGTTGTTCACATTGTACATGTCTGCTGGATGCAGATATCTAGTGCGTGCAGATGCGTCAAATTTTGAGTAATCCTTATCTTTATTGTACGACCTCGTGGCTTGCACTTCTTCAATTGAAGAATCCCTAATCACAGTTGATTAGTTTTATACATGTGACATGGCCGTGTTCTGTCGCATGTACAGCATGTGAACAAAACTAAACCGGACAAAAGTTGAAAAAATTCTCTTTACTGCTTTTAATGAAACCTTCTTTGTATCGCAGGAAATGATCAAGATTGCCTTCTTCAGTTAGATATTGACCTACGGTGTCCCCTTGTCAGTCTCAGTTCAGGGTATTTTTTTTAACCAAAAGGTGCTCGTTCTATATTAGCAAATGCCATCAAGTGAACCTTGAATAATTTTGTCAATCACTAACACAAATTAAAGAAAACTTCATAAAACTGCTTTAAAGCAGTCGCAGTTGCCAAAATTCCTGTTATATCTGCGCCTTATATCGTCGCGCGTGCCATTCTTTTTGTTAAATTAATAATCTCCAGTCCACCGTTTAATTAAGCTCAACCTCAAACAGGCCGTCGCCGCGTAGTATCCCTAAAAAGTGCACTCCTACTTTCACTGTCAACGTCATTCTCTCCTCAGTCTCACCTCTCAAGTGAGAAGACGGCAAGTCGTACCTGTTTTGTGCTACCCCTCCACCCCTGAGAAAAGTATAGAAAACTGAGGAATTCGTAATTTAACATAGACATTTACAAAGTTTATTGCTCTTTTATCTTCATTTTAGATATCTTAGGTTATAGCACAAATCAAACTAATGAAGTTGGCCGGGCCCGCAAGGCAACTTTTTTGAGTGGGGGAAGGGTGGGGGGGGGGGGGGGGGGGGGGGGGGGTCGCATCAATTCACCTAAGTCACTTTGAACGTTTTTAGGATTAAGCATAGGTCTTCTGAGCCACTTTTTGATGTTAACAAGTGACGAGGAAGAAGTACTGACCTACATGCAACTATGAACACTAATGACTCACTTTTTTATAAAGATGCCGAGGTTCCAAACATAGTCAAAAAAGAAGAAAGGGGAGGGGTTGGAGCCAATAATCTTTAAAGGAGCTTAGTCGCGATATTTTCAGTTATTTTGGCCACGCACAAAATTAACTTTAAATTGAAGAAAACCTGAAAATAATAGTTTACTTAGATAGAAAAACAGTAAAGGGATAATAAAAAACCATAAATGAACAAGGATGGTTAAGGATGGAGGGGATTAACACCGATTACAAACGACGAATTTGAAACATTTAGGCTAAACTTTTCAAGATGTCCAAACCGTGAAGTAGGTCCTTTAAAAATCACTTAACGGCTTTTAAATTCTGTCAAGCGTTCGATCTGTAAGTGGAGATTATTGATTTATTATATTTATCATTGACAGTGCCAGTAGTAGAGAACCGTCTATCTCGAAAGATAATGGAAGCGCCTTGGTCGGTCAAGACCAGTCCTGTTGAGAGCGGCGTCTGGAGTGGCTCAGCAGTGCGATCCTTCCATGATAGTCTTTTCCGCAGGCGTTGCAGACAAAGTTAGAGGGTGGATTGACGGCCTGAGATTATATTTATCATAAACTGTAACGTATCATTGTGGTTTAGGCAACTTACGTTTCCTCCAAACTTGTAACGTTTCCGCAGGCCTCCATCCACAAACGCCTGCAGAGAATCTTGGGATTGTGTTGCCACCACGTGAATATAGCCAATCGCCGTTCCGGAAACTCCCTCAACGTCTTCCATCGAGACGGTAAAGACACACTTGTAAAAGCCGAAATTAAGTCCAATCTCCCGAACATACAATTCTGCCTGGTTACTTTCCCACACAGGCTTCTTAGGCTCCTCAGCCTCGGCAAAGGGTTGATAATTGACCTGATCTTTTGATGCATTGAAGATTTCCCACCTAAAAGCCGTAGATTTTGAAGCCTCACAGTTGACCTCTATCTCGGCCTTGATACTTATAGGCTCCGAGCGATTCATCTTTGTTGCCGTGGTTGCATTTGGACTCACACCTAAGTAGAAGAACCAATTTCAAAACTGCTCACTGGTTTGAAATTGAGAGACGTGTACTCAACCCTGAGGATCACAATTTAATTGTGCTGGGATGCCCCTCTTATTGGATCAATGTAATTCAATAAATCAGAGATAAACTGTCTTAGGGCTTAACCAATCCAAAATAAAATCAAATCTCCGCTTTTTGCACCACACATGTATTTTTTCTGTCTTTTTCTCGAACTACCTGTTGGTTTAACTTCTAACCGTTACCACTATGGGGGCTTTTAGAGCTCCTAGATTACGCAGGTAAACAAATGAAGCTAACAACAACAGCATCACCATAATCAACAACAACAACAACAACGTTACTCACCCAACAGGATAGCGTTTGGATAGAAGCAAGACAGTGCGACCGTGACAGATTTGTACTTTTCTGTAAGGCGTGACACATTGTTGGTGGCGTTGACTGTTACCCAGAATTCGTCAATAGTAGAATAATTGTAGGGTTGAATGATTTCGGTGGTGTTATCATCCTTCGATTCATATTTATTTGGTGCTATGGACTGACAGTGGCTTCCTCCGAAAAAAAACAAACCCTGTCCGTCACCCATATCCATTTTGACGCACGTTCGAGTGCCAAACCGAGTAAAACCAAGCGTGAAAGTGGTAGTCCTGTTCACCTTCACGGGACGACCTCCGTCATCAATAGTGAGGCCTTGGACACTTTTTTCTGTTTTAAGTCGAAAGGACTTGGTGATACTGCTCACCAGGTTGTGTACTGTCACATTTGTCCAATATTCAGCTTCAGTTTCTGCGTACTTGTGGGTGGTGGTCGACACGCTGGTATTCTTTACCGTGCCATCGTCAAACTTCCACAAGTAAGTTAAATTTGTTCCCTTATCGGGCATAGCAGTAAAATTTACTTTGTGTTCACAGGGGAAGATATTTTTCTCTGGTCCAAATCCATGAATGTTCGACCCGAAGTCACTTGTGGTCGTCCAAGTATTGAATGACACTTGTGTGACGTCATCCTGAATTATAAGGGTAATAGAGCGAGTTGCCTCAGAAACTTCATTCTGGGCTCGAAGCTTGACAAGATAAACGCCTGCTGAGACAATGTTACTGCCTGTAGTGAGGAAAAAATCTCCGGTGTCTGTTTTCATCTTAGTATAATTGATCGTTGTTCCTTCGGCCTCCAGATGAAAAGTGACATTGGTACCGTTTGCCATCGTCCAGTTGATAGGATTGTTCTGGCCACGAATCTTAGGAGATATGTAGGGTAACTCAAGATCTTCAATTGGTTTTTGTACAACTGCGTACAAAGTATCGTTCATTTTGCTGTTTCTGTTCGAACAGTTAACGTAAACCTCGTAGCGTCCCACTTCGGTGTAATTGTGGTACGCTTTGAACTTCAGATTCATAAAAGGGGTCCTGTCTGCGGTGACACCATCCGCGAAGTAAGTCAGATTGTAACAGCTCTTTCCAAAGAAGCCGAAGCTGCCATCTCCGTAGTCAAAAAGGCATTCAAAATCGGAAGCTTCAGCTAAAGACATCGTGAACTCCACAGGGTCACTAAGATTCGTGGCAGGGCTGGTCACGCTGAGCCCGACCAATGGAATCACTGGCTTGCACACCGTTACAGTGCTGTTCAATGTGACGCGGCTGATGAAATTAAACACTGTAATATTCAGCACGTATTCTCCATGAGTAGTATAAGAGTGGTTTCCAATGGATTGACGCAGTGTCAGGTTTGTTTGGTCACCAAAATCGTAGAAATGTTGCGGATCTGTTCCGTTGACGCTCACGTGAATTCTGAGTGTCCCATTCACTTCCAGACATTTGGTGTCATACGTTTGCTATCAAGAAATCGAAACAAATTTCTCGTTAGCTTGGTAATTTACAGGTTAGCACAAAATGATTCACAACGAACTTTCCATTAGATTAAGGTCGAAGTAAAGTCATAACGATCCTCTTCAGTGCTTCTTGATCTTCGAGGGCAAGGGGCGTCTTGGGTGTCTCACTGAGGTGAATTGCAAGTAAAATGAGACATAGTTGCGGTAATTAAAAAGTTGGACCTTTCATCAGTCGCCAACGATTAGCGTATCGCAATTGATTCTCGTTTTTCTCGGTTCTGATTGGATGACAAAGTTACCATGATATCGTAGCCATATCAGGCCAGTGGCTTGACATCGTTGGATATCGGAACAGTAGACACAGCGTCTGATTGGATATTTCCGAATTTTGGTATGGCAAAAAATAAGGTAAATGATTTCGAAACTTATGCAGAGAAAACTGCGCTGTTAGATAATGATGAGAGCTTTCAGTTTGTTTTAACGAGTGATCGATAGTGTGTGGCCGATGTCTCTGTTGCTCGGGGAGTACTTGACCCATGTTTGGGCATAGGGGATCCGCCGAGGGTTCAAAATCCTCACCCTGTTTAGGACAAAAATACTCTAAAAGCCCTACCCTGTAGGATTGCACCCTATATTTTAAGGCCCTGTTTAGGACAAGAGACGAAGGTCAGAAATCCAATGCAGGAAGTCATACATGTTAAGGCGCAAACAAGGGTATAAAGATCTTTCGAAAGGTATAGCAAAGCGGAAGAGAGCTCTAAAGAGACAAACAAGCAACCATACCCTGTTTAGGACAGAGGCACGTAAAATTGCACGCCCTGTTCAGGACGGTGAGGCCAGAAAGCATACCCTAACCAGCGGCATGTCCCCATACAAGCAAAATTGGGGGTACCCCCCACCACTCCCCCGGGCTCTGTTGCAGAAGCATAGCTGTATTTTGAGTTTACTTACTCACCTTCACGGTAAGATTCCTAATTGGATCTTGTACTTGTGCTATACTACTGGCTGTCATGGAATCCAGCAAATTCCGTGCCTGGATCGTAACATTGTAGTGACCGGCCGTGCTGTAATTATGCCACAGGGAAATAACAAAAATGTCCAATATGTCGTCCACATTCACAATCCACACAGGCTCGGAACCGTCACCGAAGTTAACAGTAACATTAACATTGCTTCCGTTCCGGATTTCGATGCCAATGTTTGTCGGGTATCCCGTTTCTACCGGCGTAATGTTCTTGACAAATCCAAAACCATTGATTGGCGTAACCACCGAGATCTTAAAGTTGAGAATGGCCTCGGAGAAAAAGTTTTTTGCTACTAAGAAGACGCAGAACTCGCCGTTGGACGTATACCTGTGTGAGATGGTGCGGTTCGTGGTGTTTTGGACCGTGGAGTTGTCACCATAATCCCACGAATACCTGAAATATAAACACGATTATCANTTTTTTTTCATTGCCCTCTTCATTTTAAGCCATTTCCTAGTTTCTGCTAAGACTTAATCGCATTGCATGTAGTTTTACCTTTCTTTCTATTACGCCTTTTTGTAAATTCAAACTATAGCGTGCCGTACAGTACAATACGCCCGAAAAATTGACCAATCACAGCGCGCGCAGTAACTAATAGATATAATAGATTTCCTTATAATAAAGACACCATGTGTATCCGACATAACTCGTACAAGTTACATCGTTTCAACGCATTATGAACAGAAGTACTCAGCTGTTGGAAAACACCTTCCAGAAAGTCACAACCATGACCAACAAAATATGCACAAACAGTTCAACATCTTAAAGAAGTGCAAAGGAAAGCTGGAACGTTTGATTTATGCTAATCAAAGAAAAAAGACCAAACTTAAACACACAAGCGGACTATGTTCGGGCAAAAGTGTTTATTGGCTGACATTAATCTTCACATTTCTCTTGATCCTTAACACCTAAGCTAGTACATCTGCATTTGATAATGGCGACAAGATGACGCCGAAACGTCCTGTTACAGAGTTTACCATTACTATTATTATTATCACTATTATTATTATTATTATTATTATTATTATTATTATTATTATTGTTATGATCAATTTATTCCCATTCAAAAATTTCACCATGCTGCTATAACACTATTATAAACAACAGATGTTGGCCATGTAAGCTAAGACAAAAGTGATTTCTCATTATTTATCTCAACATTTCCATACTAATTTTCAAACTAATTACTTCGCATTTTCCATTGAGTGCTTACCATTTGTTTCGAAAAATCTAATACTCCGCGCTGAAATTAATGATGTACATATATACACTACATACTCTATACACTGTGAATAGCGTGCGCGTATTGCAATCATTGTTTCGACAATATATTGATACACGTGCCCAGAGTTTTTCTTTCCTAGGCTGACCCCAACAGGAGCTTTTGTACTGGCAATTATTTTAAGCCAAACACTAGAGTCTGAACATTCACCACAAAAAATTAACACGATTCACAAATGTTATGTAAATTGTAGAGTCCTAGCTGTATCAGAACACACTCTCTAACCGGCGCAGTAACCACTCTCTATCACCCCCTCAAAAAACACACTGAGTGAGATTCACCGAGTGTCTACGACTGGCTGACCAACAACCGATGAGAATCACTATGTACCAATACAGACGCAGGTTTTCTCAAGTTGAAGTTCTTGTTTAACAGGCAACTTGGAAGTAATTCCAACTTGTACATGTAGAGGTGCATACATCCTGGCTGTTCAGTCAGTCCTTATGGGGAAAAATTAAGCGCAATAGACACTTTTCGAAAAGAGACACTGATCACTTCGTTGTCAATATTAAACACACTACATCATGCCTAGTATCTTGAAGGCTCACTGCATACTTGTTTTAAGTTCGTCTTTCAAAATCCGTCTTAATCTTTTTCAATATTACGTCTTTGGTGTTTAAATTGATTTGTCAACTTGTCAAAAATGTATTTGCTAACTTTGCAACATTTCTTGGCATTCCTCAGCCAGGTCCATCGCTAGTCATTTATTGATCCGTTCTCTTTCACTCTCATCCAAGCGAGCAGTGTTAATACAAGCCACAATCATCTGGATCAGGCTGATTACTTGCTTTAGTATACAGATAGGCAGTGTCAGCCAAGCTACAGCCACCCAGCTGCCAAATGAGTAATTGCCAACAGACACTACAGGAAATAACAAAAAAAGAACAAAAGGGTAATTAGGTGATATAGGTCAGACTGGATTTTGCGTGCGGAAGCTTTTATTTTTTAGGTGCCTCGATTTTTAATTTATTGCCTTTAAGTTTAAGAAACATTGATTTTAGAGTTTTATTTAGGAAAGCCTTGGACGATTATTACTTGTAATTTCTATTGTATTTTTAACAGTTTTAACTTGGTGTATTTTTGCCTTAATATGCATCTTGTTATATATTTTAATATTTCTTATTTAATAGTTTTTAATTCTTAGTCAGCAGGACCCTGTTGATAACAGCACTTTCTACTGAAGGGTTATCCTGGGTAAATATTCAATTATTATTACTATTATAGTACATGTTTTGTTTGAAGTTTCATGTTTTCCTTTCTTCAACTCAGTGGCTGAATCACGCACAAAACAAAAGCAACTGTGTAACATAGAGGGAAAGACTGCTTTATTCTGATTGGTGAAGACAGACAATTTTAATTGTTCTGCCATCCATTATCATATGTAAAATACTTCAGAGATGTTTGAGTATTACCACCACACTAAGACTGCTAATGCCACCAATACCTGGTCAAACACCTTATAAGATCTTTGAGGATCTTACAAGACCTTTAAGACCTTCTAAAGATCCTTTAGCATAAGGACTTTTCAAAGATTCTTAAACAATCTTAGAAAGATCTTGGAAAGATGCTAAATACATGAATTTGATTGGCTAATTACATTAGCAGTTTTCCATGATACAGAACCTGAGTTATGGACTGGTCACATTCCCTTGCAAAACGCTCCGGGTTTCAATGGTAGTTTTGGAAGTTTCACTGAATGAAAACTTAAAAAAACAGACTTATCTACATTCAATTGTGTTCTTTGGCCCGTATAATGAAAAACTTTGCACTATGCACTAGTGCTTGGATGTTTTTTTTTTTTACTCTGCATTTTTTGGAGATTTCAAAATCTTTCACTATCAATTTAAGCAGTTTAATTAAAAGAAAAAGACAAAAGTTATTTGGCATCTTTGGTCAGTCTGTGTTGACAGAATCGTTACATTTGGCCTTGAAGTGGGCCACATTCAAGGCATTGAGCAAAGTTTTTCTTGTTATAGACCTCCTGCTGGAGAATAGCATATATCAATTTATTAACATACATTATTTTTCTTTACAAATAACAATGACAAACTAATTGGTGGACAAAAATAGTTTTAGAAAATTTATTGCCATGCCATTACTACTGTTCTTAAAGAGAGTTAGTTGCTACAACAATGTACCTGTGATAAGCATACTTACAAACTGGTCCAGATGTGAAATAAATCAGGTATAGCATACAGAAAAACAGTTCATTACCAGCACACATGATAAACAGTACTACCTGCAGAAGGAAATAAACCTGTTTTCTTTTATGCTACAATAGCTAAATGCAAGCGACGAAATACTTCACAATTAAACCCAAATCACAGTGATAAAATCTTCACACATAACAAGAATTGTCAAGGAGGAGTGAAGCATATTCTTCAGAAATGATTCCAGTGGAGAGTAACAACTGGGTTTGTATCTACAGCTGTTAAGTATACTTTTTTCAAGGATATTTTTTGCTATATCCCAGAATTCAATCAACAAACTAAGACCTTGTTACAACCTGCAAAGAATCTCTTACTAGCTTTTTCCCCACAGATTTACTTCATACCTTGTTGACATGTCACAAACTAATCAGAACATTTCAATAGTTTTTTCTAAATATCCAGACTTCCTGTCCTGTACATTACAAGACCAATGAAAGACAGCTAACAATTGATTACCCTGGAGTGATAGTAAATCCTGAGGAAGAAGTTGCCAGATAAATCTATTTTCTTGTGACTGGCTCCACCTTTTAACAAAGAACTGAAGAATGAAAAAATATGTTGACAATAAAATTCATGGAGTTGAAAAACAGATCTCTTTCTTGCATTTGCAAGTTTCTACTGTTTTATTGCCATATATTGGCCTGGGATAATCACATCATTTATATAAACCACAGTAAATGGATGATTTTCTATCTTCTCATCACTGCCTGTGTAATAATAAATGGCTATTGTATGGAGAAATAAGACATTGATTACTCTTGAAGATTGCTGGATTAACAACAAAGTACTGGGAACTGCTAAGTTTATAAGGTAAGTAAGTTAAAGATAAGTTTATGAAATAATAATTATTATTACAATTACCTTTGTACATGGATCCAGTGACTTGCAATATCTAAACATATCAGCATTTGAAAAACAAAAGTGTACTTTGGATAGAAAACAGATAACATCACAAGTAGAGCTGTGGTAACACATCTGAAAGTTTATTAATTAAAAAGTGTTAATGGTAATATTATTTTACTAATCATAAAAAGACTGATACCAAGAAAAAGAGACCTTTACTGTTGTGTACTATGGACAGATACCAATGGAATTTCCAAGCATGCCGCTGACTTTTTTATTAACTTCAAATTGAACAAAGACCATTCTCGTCCCCAGAGGCTGCGCTCCTTTTGGTCAGCATCAAGAATCGCAACCTCTGGCTGGAATGGATTTTCTGAGCATGTGCAGAGTATTTGTTTCGTATTGTCAGCCAATCAGATTTGTCTGATTTGACGTGAAGTCTGTGAACTGCTGACTTCTGGTGTTGGACCAGCCCAGAAGTCACGATTCTTGGTGCTGACCAGAAAGAGCACAGCCTATGGGCACAAGAATGAACAAATACAAAGAAAGAAGAGCAAAACATTTTTTAAAGTAGAGAAAAGGCTGAGCCAAGTGAGGCATTCTGAGAATTCTGTGACACTTGAGGCATAAATCCAAGGACTAACAGAAAAATCGGGATTGCATTAACAGACATAAAAGCTAATTTAAAAATATTATTTTGTTTTTAGGCTACCATCAAAACAAAAATCTGGTCTTGTAGTGAGCATGTTACCTGTCAGTGAGCATGTCCAACATAGCACCAAACATTGTACCTGATAAGGAACAAATGTACATCAATATTGCAGCAACACCAGCAGCAGCAGTTTGATCAACTTCAATAAACAGGTTGTACTCCATGTCAAACATCTATGTATAAAATTATTTTTGAAGCCAAATGGCATACATTGCCACACATCCTGGCTCATCTCAGACACACTGACAAATATCCACACATAGCCTGTTAGTATTATTAATTAATTTATCTTGCTGTTCGTTTCAAAATAATCAGTTCTGATTATTAAATTTACTGAAAAACTTCAATAGGAATAATAAAATTATGAGTTGTCTGACGTTTTGATGTTGCTGACATCATTATCAACTGAAGGTAAAAATTGGAATGAAAACAAAATTGTGCAAAATATTGTAAGTTGCACATTATAATTTAATGTGAAACTGGGGGACATCCCTAGTTATCATCAGTACCGACTGCTCTATGATTGACTTGTTTAGACCAGTCCAGTAAAAAAAAGTCTTATTGGCTCCCTGAAGCTGATTCTCATGTCATTCTCATGCCAACCATAAGGATATCTTAGAGAACCAAAACTGATGGTACTCATACAGTGCATTTATACAATCTTATTGCATTTATTTGCTAATGAAATTGAGGCTATCATCTTAGAATATCATTTTCTATGATATCTCCTTGCCCACCCAACAGATGGTACCCAGACAGATAGAATCACAACATGACATTCTAGTCTCATATCAGTTACGGTCATAGATTCTTCAGGATTCCCTTTTTGTTGATATGTGAAGCTGAAGCCGATAATGGTGCAATATCTCTGCCCAAGGAATTGATCATCTAATTGACAAAGTTGAGACAACATAGTTCACAGATATTTTAGTTTTTAGTACAAACCACTCCACAATCTTCTTAGCTTTAGCATTGCGCGCACAAGTGTTATGTTTTGAATGCTGTTTTTGCATTCACTTTCACACCTAGTCCTCTCAAACTTATTACATGTNATTTTAAGACTTTAGCAGCGCTTCATCCTCGCACCTTATTTCGGTCATTTTATTACACCAAAAACCGCACTTTGACCGCGCTTTCAAATTTTTGCGAATATCTGAAAAATAAAAATTTGCTGGAACCTTTAAATATGATTTTTAGAATTAGGTCACCTAAGGGTATCTTTGGGCAAAATACGAGCGATTTGCCAAATGGGTCGTTGACCGGCGTTTCTTGATCCTTACAGTCAGCCATTCTTAAATAGTGCTTTGCTATCATCTCTGTTAAAATTTTGGGATTTAGTCTTAAATTATAAATACCCAAACAAATATGTTTTTATTGTTTTTATGGCTTTATTTGTGATTTTCATGAATTTCCCTCAGTGAAATCTTCCAAAATTTTTACATCACATCGCTTCCAGTGGGATACAAATTTTAAACACGAAAAAAGTAGGGTTTGTAAAGGCAGTTTTTTCGATATTTTCAAATTTACGTCTTTTACCGCTGGAAAAAATCTGGTCTTATAGATTTCCCTGAAAAACGAGCTCAGACTGAAGTAAAATATTTAGTACCAGTCTGCCAAATTTTACGGAATTTCACTGAAGGAAATGCGAGAAAATTCACTGTTAGTTTTGCTTTTTGTGCTCATGTTGACATAATAAAATATCGAAAAACACTGACGTTTTCCTTTGAGCGCATGTAGATTATTTTCTCAGTGCTCCGAAATCATAAAACTATAGGGAGCCACCTTAATTCTCATCATTTTAAAATAAAGGCTACCCATCTATCTAAGCGACAACCTGCATGATCTTAGAGCTCCATCAATTCCAAGCCCACTCATCTTCATAGGGGGTCTCTTCACATTGAATGAGAAATTTAACAAATTGACGTCAGTTTTTCATGTACCTGTCCTGTTATTGATCATGAATTTCTTCTTAACATTGTTAGAGTAACAGTGGATCCACGAGGTGATAGCCGAATGAATCCACAGACTACTTTGACAATGTTATGACCAAATGCATGCCCAATAACAGGACAGACACATAAAAAACTGATGTTAATTTGGTTTTACAATAAAAAATCGTCAAATTGTCCGCACTCCCTCGTCGCGTCGACATAGAATAAATTATAAATTCATGAGATGTCTGTCCGCCTATCAATAATCGAAATTAGCCCATGAGCGTGTGAGAATTCTGCAGTTACTGTACAAATATGTATTTCTTTACTTCCTATATTTGTCCAGCCCGGACCCCTGGGGAAAATCATAAGGACTTCGAAAACATTCCGACGTCGGTCAACCTCGGGAGGTCGGTGACGTGTGTACATTACCCACCTGGGGCCGGGGCATCACAACTCACATAGCATTTTCCATTACAGTGATCACTAGAGGTTCTCTTTGGTTTAGTTCTCTTTCTCTTTGATCAATGTTCACCAAATACAAGCACATTACAATTATGCTAACTTACTTTGACCAAAATATCTGGCCGCATGTCCATCGAATGCGTCAAGAAGGCCACTAAGAAGATACATGATGGCGGCCATGATGTAGTCGGTTGGCATAAAGTAGAACGACAGTACTGCTAACACGATCCGTGCATAACCTGTGAAATAAGTAGCTCCTTTTAATAAAGATCTCAGATAAAACCTCGCACTGGCCATGGAAGCTAGTACTGAATTTAATAAAATACCACGCTGGAAGTTGTTTTGGTTTGGAGGCCAGCTGTCATTGAAGGTCCTGCACGAAAGAAGGAGCTCCCTAAAACATCTAAGCGAAAAAGTGAAAACTTTCAAATACTTACCTATTAAGTTAGGGATAAATAGGAAGACGTTTTCTTTCATGTTTGCCCAGCAAATATATCCCGAAATCACAGAACTCAAACTTTAATCACTCCCTCACTCCCTCACTCCTCCCTCACTGCTCACCCCGTTGAGCAAGGGAAAAATTAACGCCCGGGCGGAGTGTGAGGGTTGTCAGCGGACACACTTTTATGTAAAAATACGTTGTGTAATTGATCCCGTAAAATTAATGGACATTTCACATGCACATACGTAATAAGACATACTTTTCCCGCGTAAAATGTAAATATGGCGGACAAAGTGTATGCATTTGCATGATGATAGAAAGGAAAATGGCTATGTCTTTGTTTTTTTTTCCGCGGGTGATCTTAAAGAATTTCTCGAAGAATATATGTCATCGAATTCAAGCTGCTTTGTTCTGTCAGATCGCCATAGTAAGGAATCTT